TCCCTCATTCTCTCTCTCTCTCTCAAATAAATAAATAAAATCTTAAAAAAAATTTTTTTTGGGGCGCCTGGGTGGCTCAGTCGGTTAAGCGACTGCCTTCGGCTCAGGTCATGATCCTGGAGTCCCGGGATCCAGTCCCGCAACGGGCTCCCTGCTCGGCGGGGAGCCTGCTTCTCCCTCTGACCCTCCCCCCTCTCATGTGCTCTCTCTCTCTCTCATTCTGTCTCAAATAAATAAATAAAATCTTAAAAAAAAAAAAATAAAACCTTTTTGATATTTTTTGATGAACTTCCCGCAAATCAAATCCTAAATAGTCTTTTTGGGGGCGCCTGGGTGGCTCAGTTGGTTAAGCGACTGCCTTTGGCTCAGGTCATGATCCCAGGGTCCTGGGATCGAGCCCTGCGTCGGGCTCCTTGCTCAGCGGGAAGCCTGCTTCTCCCTCTGCCTCTCTCTCTCTCTCTGTCTCTTATGAATAAATAAATAAAATCTTAAAAATAAATAAATAAAATAAATTGTCTTTTTGGCCTTGACCTAACTTTGGGTTATTTCAAACACACCTTGAGGTGTTTTGTTCTCTCTCCTTTTAAAAAGGGCGATATTAAACTAATTAGGTTTATTTGATATATTAAATTACATGGGGAACATTGCCAAATAAGAAGTAATACTAAGCCTTCTTTATATATGTCTGTATACATGTTCCAGAAATTATGTAAAATTCCTGGAAATCTGATGTGTCCTAGTATAATGGCAGTGCTTGTAATTCTCATCACTATCTTAAAATGTATGTCACAAAAATAACCAAATGTCTTTGTCAATTATAATGAACTCTCATCAGATCTTTACCCAGGTCATTTTTAAGTCTTTAATCATTTATCAGTAGTTATTGCTGTACTCTGAGACTTCTACAAAAGTTTCCTACAACTGTGCCTTATCTTCAGAGGAATTCCTGGAAAGGAATCTGACAAGTACTCTCGAATACAGATTATGGATAAATTTCGGATCATACAACTGAACTGGTAAGAACAAAGACTGCTCTTGAACGTCCTTGGAAGGGACTAAGGGCAGGTCCTCCTCACCAGCCAGACAAACTTCAGGGGCTTAAACCTTGGATGTGCATGTTGGAGCTGGAGAAGGCTCCACCTGACATCTGGTCCTACACAGTGCTGGAGACCTCCCATCCAAGTGACGAGGAAGAGAAGTAGCCTACATCGAGGTAGATTGCTTCCTCCAAGATGCCCAGTCGAGAGCTCACACTTTTTTTTTTCCAAGCATGGATTATTTATTTATTTATTTATGTAGTGTTCCATGATTCATTACTTGTGTATAACACCCAGTGCTCATTACAATACGTGCCCTCTTTAATACCCATCACCGGGCTCACCCATCCCCCCACCCCCCACCCCTCTGAAACCCTCAGTTTGTTTCCCGGAGTCCAGAGTCTTTCATTGCTTTGTCTCCCCCTCTGATTTCCCTTCATTTCATCTGTCCATTCATTACCTTCATTTTTCCCTTCCTTCTCCGAACGTCCTCCATGTTATTCCTCATGTCCCACATATGAGTGAAACCGTATGATAATTGTCTTTCTCCGCTTGACTTATTTCACTTAGCATAATCTCCTCCAGTTTCATCCATGTCGATGCAAATGGTGGGTATTCATGTTTTCTGATGGTTGAATAATATTCCATTGTATATATGGACCACATCTTCTTTATCCATTCATCTGTTGAAGGGCATCTCGGCTCTTTCCACAGTTTGGCTATTGTGGACATTGCTGCTATGAACCTTGGGGTGCATGTGCCCCTTCTTTTCACTACATCTGTATCTTTGGGGTAAATACTCAGTAGTGGCAATTGCTGGGTCAGAGGCCTCACACTTTAACTGAATAGGAAACCTTTCTTTTTTTCACTCTGGCACTGGCCTGGAAAGATGACATCATCGGTGTCTCTCAGGCCATTGTGGAGGGAGGTAAACTTGGCCTTTCAGACTGCTGGACTTGTCATCCAAAACTCCTATCTATCCATTCACCGTGCCACCTTGGTGGAAGAGGTTTGTGCCCTGACCAGGCTTGTCCTTTGTCTTTGTGGTTAGCACTCTCCTTGGGCCTGTGAATGTTTCGGTGGCTGGGACATAGCCAGGCAATGCCTCTTAGGGTATCTCACCTCACTGTGCCCCCAGCTTTTTATAAGTGAAATCAGACATGATTGGTTGACCCCCCTGGATTTACATCTTCGAGTTAGAAAAGACCTACTAGGAGGCATTCACAACTCAGGATTTGCTTCCTTTGGCAGAGCCATACTTCCCTGGTTAGGAGGAAATATAAATAAGAATATGATCAAGGGCATCTGGGTGGCTCAGTCTGTTAAGCGTCTGCCTTCGGCTCAGGTCATGATCTCGGGGTCCTGGGATCGAGCCCCGCATCGGGCTCCCTGCTCGGGCGGGAAGCCTGCTTCTCCCTCTCCCTCTGCCCCTCCCCCTGCTCATGCTCTCTCTTACTCTCTCTCTCAAATAAATAAAATCTTAAAAAAGGAGAATATGATCAGAAACCTTTCCTTGACTCTTACAGATACCCACAGACTCTGTCACTAAGACAATAGCTGCCCAACAAAGATCCTTCCAGCTCTCCAGCCAAAATTGTTCTTTATAATCAGATAGGCTCTGATTATCTTTTAGCTGAGCAAAGATGTGTCTGCGGCACCACCTGCATGGATTAACCCTTCTGGGGAAGTTGGAACTCAACTGTACAGGATCACTGAGCAAGCCACTGGGCTTAAAACGGTGACTCTTTCAGCGGGGTCTAGCTTTGTCTTACTTGATTCTGATTGGTTTGGGTCTTGGAGACAAGGGCTCTGAAGTGCACTCCAGAGGTCAGGGACTATCCTGTTTGTAATAGGCACAATAATCTCCCTGGTGCATTTTCCTCCCTCAAAAGCTTTAAATGCATGTTCGCCGCTGCTAACCACCAGGCATGTGATCTCCTGAAGACTGGACTGCCAGAAAAAGAATGAAGAGGACAACTGACTTAAAAATTAGGAACTTTGGGACCCCTGGTTGACTCAGTCGGTAGAGTATGCAACTTTTTTTTTTTTTTTTTAAGCATGCGACTCTTGATGTCTGGGTTGTGAGTTCAAGCCCCATGTTGGGTGTAGGGATTACTTAAAAACAATTGTGAACCTGAAGTTGTAACCTGTGACTAACCATAGTCGTAGAATGCCTTACATTTTGATCACCTGTCTCAGTTAAGCTTAGAATCTAATCAAAAGGGAGATGTTGCTGAAAAGAAAACCACAGGCCCCACATAGAGTCACTTATGTTAAGGCCCCACATCAGCAAACCAAGACTTAATACCTAACCTAATTGTTGTTTCAATCCTCCCAGAAATGTGACCTCTAACCAGTCAACCTGGAAGTCCCTGGGCAGCACTAGGAAATTTACAGATAGACCCCTCCTGTGCCCCTTAGGAGGGAGACCTTACCTAAAACAACACCCTCTTTGCTGATAATCCCCTCCCCTCCCCCTCCTCTCTGCATTTACAAATCCTTCTTTTTCTTTTTCTACAAACCTTTCTGTTTGCTAGGTGGGATGCTGCCCAATGCAGGAACTGTTCAATAAAGCCAATTTGATTTTTTTTTTAAAGATTTTATTTATTTAATTGAGAGAGAGAGAGAGAGCACAAGTGGGGGGGAGGGATAGAGGGAGAAGCAGGCTTCCCGCTGAGGAGGGAGCCTGATGCGGGGATCATGACCTGAGCCGAAGGCAGATGCTTAACCAGGCAGATGCTTAACCGACTGAGCCACCCAGGTGCCCGCTAATTTGATTTTTTAAATTACTCAGTAAAATTTTTATTGTTTAACATCGCCAGTCCACAGGTGAGAAAAAGGAGACTGTCAGAGAAGTAAAATAACTTGCCCAAAACAACCCAGACAGAAGTTGGCAGCATCTTGCGTTAGGGCAAGGAACAAGAGGTGGGGTCAGCATCTTGCTGGGCTTCCCAGAACCCAGTGGGACTGCCCAGGACCTCTCAAAAGTTCAAAGGACCTGCTAGTTTCCGGGCCTCCCCAGATGATCCCTGCCCTGCCCCCAGGGAACATTTCTTTGCTCCTTAGAGAGCAGCTCTGTGGGGAAAAGGTGGCAGAAGGTGGGGCGGAGGAACCACTCTTGAAGAGGCTCCCGAAGAGAGTGTGACTTCTCAGACAGAATTTGTCGAGGGCAGAGGAAGGAAGAGGGAGGTGGCCGGCGGAGATGATTTCTGGGAGGCAGTGGGAGCGGCAGGGGAGGGAGAGGCTGGCTGACTCAGTTTCATCTTTGGGGCCACAGAGGAGGCAGGGGGCAGGGATGGTGCAGAGAATCAGTCACCAGACTTGGGTGGGGGGGATCGGAATCCCAGCCCCCAGCTAAGCATAAGAGGGGTGGGTTGGTGTCCTGCAAATGGAAGGAAACCTCGGAGCAAGGCTGCAGGAGGAACTCGAAGCCAGCCCTGCCTCGCCCCGCCCTGCCCCTCTCTTCCCCTCCCCAGGACAAATGTGCACACACACGCAGGAAGGATCTAGATGTATTTAAGGTCAACAGGTCCCTAAGCTAAGAGGATTTAGAGGCTGTCTCTGGCCAAGAGGCTAAACAGCTTGCACGCACAGGACCCATTGTATAGGCCGGAGAGACCAGAGGGGAAGCCATGGAAAGATCTGGAAGGATAGGCGATATGCAGTTGAGGGGCTGCCGTAGGTGGTCTGGGCTTCTCACTGCAGCGAGAGGCTGGGGGAGGGGGATCTGGGGGTAGAGACTCCAAGGTCCAGAACTGGGGGACCGAGGGTCCCTTGATCCTTTCTGGGAGGGCAGTAGTTTGGCAGGCAGCAAGTCTCTAACAATAAAAATGATTTGAGGGCGCCCGGGTGGCTCAGTCGGTTGAGCGACTGCCTCCGGCTCAGGTCATGATCCCAGGGTCCTGGGATCGAGTCCCACATCGGGCTCCCTGCTCTGCGGGAAGCCTGCTTCTCCCTCTCCCACTCCCCCTGCTTGTGTTCCCTCTCTCGCTGTGTCTCTCTCTGTCAAATAAATAAAATCTTTAAAAAAAAAAAAATAAATAAATAAATAAAAATAAAAATGATTTGAACCAGAACGCCTTCTATGCAGGCAGGAACTCACCTGTGGCCACAGTCCTCAGCCCTCCTGGCCTCACACCCAGGAGGGTCCGTTCATTTCTATGATCTGCTAGCTGGTGGGGGTGATGGATTTTTGACCTTTGAGACACCTGCATTGTCACCTTTGGAGACCCCAGGGGAGGAGAGAGGAGGCTAGGGCCCTATGGGCCCCTAACTTTGCCCAGTGCGGTCTCCTCCCATGCTGCTCCTTGGTACCCTGCTCAGTACAGTCCGCCGGGAGGGACTGCTGTGCCTTTAGCATCCCTCGTGCCGCACATAAATGTCAACAGCGCCCTCTAGTCTTTGTAACAGTCACACATTCTTCCCTGGAAGTAGGGTGACACCCTGAGAGCTAGTGGGGCCCCTCTTTGGGGCTGGGGAAGTGATTTCCACCCCCGCCAGAATTTTCTTGGCATAGAAACACGGGACATGGAAGCCAGCGGCATGGGCTGTTTATTATAACGCCCCCAAGTGAGGCAGAGAAGAGAGGGGCTGGGCCAGGAGGCCAGTGAGCGGGAGGGTGTGAGCAGGAAAGTGTGGAGAGCCTCCACAGCCACTGCGGAAGTGACACTTAATCTCGGGAAAATATACTCAGAGAGAGAGAGAGAGAGACACGGGGGAATCCAGCCACCAGAAGCAGGCTGGGGAAAAAGAGAAACACGTTGGGCTGGGAGGGTGGCGATGGGAGGGTGGCGATGGAGGAAGCTCAGCATCCGGGGCCCGGGTGCTACTAGCTGGAGCCCATTCCATCAGCAGAGACCGCAGAGCCGAGCGCAGCAAAGAAGGCCCTGCTCTGGGGCCAGAAGCCCCACACTGGTGGTGGTGGTGATGGGAGCCAGGCTCCTGGAGCTCCTCTATCCCCACATGGTTGTCTGCAGCCACTGTGGGGAGAAAAGAAGCAGATCCAAGGATGGGGGGGGTGGGCAGGATGGCTGGGGGAGCCGTGAGTGGGAGTGCCAGAAAATCCCTTCCATGTACCTGGGTCAGATTCAGGTGAATATAGCCAGTATTCTTGGGGTCCATGGACAGAAAGTAAGCTGTTTCGGAAAGGAGGCAAGGGGAGCGGTTTGGGAGCTGAGTCTGTGGTCTGCAAGACCCACTCCCAAAGAGGCAGGATGTCAGAAAGGGCGTAAGAAGCTGTCCCTTGCTGCTTCTCAGCTCACCCTCAACCCCGGAAAGACTTAAGGATAACACCTCATGGTCTTGCTAGGAGCCATATGCTAAGTGTCGCCATATGCGAACCCCTGTGTTCTGGACCCCCATCCTAGGAGGTCAATACTGTTGTTGTCCACATTTTATTTTTTATTTATTTATTTTTAAAGATTTTATTTATTTGTTTGACAGAGAGAGACACAGCGAGAGAGGGGAACACAAGCAGGGGGAGTGGGAGAGGGAGAAGCAGGCTTTCCGCCGCGCAGGGAGCCCGATGTGGGGCTCGATCCCAGGACCCTGAGATCATGACCTGAGTCGAAGGCAGACGCTGAACGACTGAGCCACCCAGGCGCCCCTGTTGCCCACATTTTATAGATGAGAACAGAGGACAGAGCCACAGAGAGATAAATGACTTGCTCAAGGCACAGAGCCAACAAGTGGTGGAGCTGGGATTTGAACCCAGATCATCTGTGCTCTTAAGGGGGCGTGGTTTGGGAGCAGAGTGCTCCTCATGTGGGTGTGTGGGAGGCTGCCCTGGTCCTTAGCCCAGGGTGGGGAGTGGGCAGATGACTGACTCACTGAACATGGCCTTCAGCCTCAGGAAGCAGCTGATGAAGCTGTCAAAATCCACGATCATGTCGTCGTTTGCGTACCTGGCCACCAGCACCTGCGACACCTTGTTATTCAGCTTGATGCCTGGGAGAGAGAGGAGTGCGGACGGGGAGTCCAGCCCTCTGGCCACTGCTTCCTCCCTCCCTGCCCCCAAACCCTCTCCTGACCCCCTGCTAACCTGCTTTTTCGATTGCCAAGCGCATCTCATAGGAGTTCAAGCTGCCTGAGTGGTCCTCGTCACACTCTCGGAAGATGTCCTGAAGGGACAGACAGATGAGGCAGGGCCGTGTGCATAGGGTGGTGGTTGAAATAATGAAATGCTTTCGTACAGTTAACCTACAAGGGCTACCCAAGACCCAGGGCTGCCTACCCTGGCCCACTCCCTGAGTGCCCAGTATTCCTGTCATCTAGTGACTGTAGGGGACGTCTGGCAAGGGAGCGGGTTGGAAACTGAGTCAGTAGTCGGAAAGACCCACTCCCAACTGGGCCTTCCGCATGTACCCTTTAAGCGGGCTGATGCCTGGACTGTACTGATTGTTAACTATTTTGGCCAGCTAATACACAAACACTTGCACAGATCCTGTCCTGTCCTGTGCATGTGTGTGTCTAGTCGGGGGCTCCCGTTCTAGCATCATCCTTACTAATCCCCATCACTCTTGAGGACCGCCCTCTCTGCCCACCATAAACTGTCCTTTCAAATTTTTTTTTTTACCGTCCATTTCTTGATTTTTTTCCACAGGATCTGGAACTCGGGAAGCCCCAGCTTGCCAGAGCCATCTTTCTGGGGGGTGGTCAAGGATGTCAGAGGAGGGAGCGTGAAGAGAGTATCTTGGGGTCAGGGAAGCAGAGGGGCTCACTGAGTGGGGGGCTGTGTGAGACCAGGGATTCCTGTGTGGTCACTATGTTAACAGCCAGAATGGCATCTTTTGCTACCTTAGAGTCTAATCCCCAGCAGGAAGGAGGGCATGGCTGGCCAGAGAGGTGGCCACCTCTGGGGGCCAGGCTTGGGGTGGGGGTCAGGGGTGGGAGAGCACTGGACAAGAAGATACATCCATGAGGTTGACCATACAGCGGCACACGTCTAGGCCGAAGCCCGTGGTCCTGAAGTTTCTGACTGTGAGGGAGGGAAGGGGCGGGAAGACAGAAGGAGTGAGTGGGGCATTGTGGGGGATGCAGGGAATGGTCGAGGTGGGGCAGAAGCTGTAGGGGAAAGGTTGTGAGTGGCAGGGGGCAGGGGGAGGGTTGGAAGACTCACGTTTGGTGACCACCTTGTTGAGCAACTTCTGTAGCTCATACATGCCGATCTCCTTGCCCTAGGAAGGGGGACCGTCAATCTCTTCTCTGGCACCTTCACCCTGGCCACCTCCTTTGGGCACCCAGCCCTCAGCCTCTCACCTCTCCTCCTGCCACTATCTCAAACAAGTGTATGAAGTCCTGATCTATGTCCTTCTCAGAGAATTTCTCCTGCAGGGAAAGGAGTGAGAAGGGGACCCAGTCCCGAAAGTTCCTTCACACTCCCCAGATGCTTCCTCTGATCCCTCCACCCCACAGCCTCCCCTCACCTCTTGGAGTAGCTCAGCATAGTTGGCTTCATCCAGTTCCCTGAGCAAAAGTGGAGGAAGTCTTGGGAGTTATCCGGGATCAGGGAGACAGGGATTTTAGTGGGGTGGTTGTGAGATCATGTCATGTATCTGAAGCAACGTGGAACAGGCTGCATGGGATCTGGGTTCTGATTCTGGTTTGCTCCCAACTGGGACTCCCCGTCCTTGTGCCTCAGTTTCCCTGACTTAAAAGAGAGGTAGATTTGGGGAGGACCCGATGACTGCTCCCTAAGCGTGTCATCCTACAGCTCTTGGGCAGGTGGCCTTGGAGCAGTGAGGCAGGGCTTCTCACCAGGACTCGCTGTGCTTCTCTGTGAAGACCCGAAGCAGGAAGTCAGCATCCCTGTGTGGCTCAAAGGTGGAGGGAATGATGACATACTCCCCCGGAGGCAGCCGGAGATGGCTGCTCACCTCACGTGAGTTAGTAAAGATCTCTGAGAAGCCATGGTCCTGATACTTTATGAAGAAGTCCTTCTTCAAGCGAATATCCTGGATGTTCTGAAACTATATGTGCCTTGGAGGTGGGTACAGGGCTGGCATGGGAGGGTAAGGCGAGAGGGACCCCGAAAGTGAAGCCTGGCTGGGCAAGGGTTGCGGGAGGTGTCACCACAAACTGACCAGTCCTGGACACCACCCACCTGGCAGGTAACCCCAGTATGATCTCCTGCCCCAACTCCCACCTGGGGCCCTAGGGCACTGGAATCCTAACCCAGCGGCCCTGAGAGCCCTTGGCTGAATTCCACCCTTTGCCCATCCACATGCAGCCAGAGGTGGGGTAGCGCCTGCCCAGAATCAAGCCCCACATCTTCTGTACCTCTTTTGGGACCTAGGAAGAGAAGAGAGAGGGAAGTCAGAGCCCCAGGATGGTGAAGGGGCTCAGGCCTGTACAAGCCAGGTACTGTGTGTGTGTGTGTGTGTGTGTGTTGGGGGGTGTTAAGGGCCCTGGGACACTGGTGGCAGGGTGGGGCATGGGCTCGAATAGCTAAAAGTCCTAGCATTAATATTGATAGTCCCTAAGTTTGGGAGAGCAAAGTACAGTTTATACAAAGTTTTGCCAGTGGGGGGACATTTCTACCACGGCAGGTTAAGGACAAGAAACCGAATCCCAAGAGGTGAGGTAACGTGCTCAACGTCACACTGCTAAAAATCAGCTGGGATGAAAATCTAGGAGAGCATTTTCCTGAACGTGAGCATTTTCCATGGAACATTCCTATCCTGCAGGAAGGTAATAGGTGATTACCGAAATGGAGCGTAAAACATAGTTCTGTAAAATAATTCTGTAAAAAGGTGGGTTAGAGGGGCGCCTGGGTGGCTCGGTCGTTAAGCGTCTGCCTTCGGCTCAGGTCATGATCCCAGGGTCCTGGGATCGAGCCCCGCATCGGGCTCCCTGCTCAGCGGGAAGCCTGCTTCTCCCTCTCCCACTCCCCCTGCTTGTGTTCCCTCTCTCGCTGTGTCTCTCTGTGTCAAATAAATAAATAAATTCTTAAAAAAAAAAAAAAGGTGGGTTAGACCAAGTGGGTTAGACCCATTAGTTCTGTAAAAAGGTGGGGTAGACCAAGATAAATATGTTGTTCTCCTCTAGAGATAACCAGAGCCTTTAACACGTTGATGCCCTGCAGAGCTCAGGGTGGGAAGTAGAGAATATAACCTTTCCTGAAGGACCACATCTAACCTTGGAAATATCTTGAGGCATGTCTGGTGTCTGTTAACCTGGTGGGCTCCCAGCCTAGAAGGAGGGCAAGACTTGTGTCTATGTTTGTTCACTACTGACCCAGTGGAGAGTGGACTGGGGCCTGGCACACAGCAGGGGCTCCATAACTATTTGAACAAATGGTCATTTATAAGATTTTGCAAAGCACGATTTTGGAAACATTGCCAGGGATTTCTCTTGGCTGCTGGAGTCAATGCTCTGTGTGGGGGTATCTGGGCGGGGAGACTTGGGGATGGTGTGGAGAAGTCTCAGAGCGTCTGGGAATCAGGACACAGGCTCTGTTTCTGAGCCTTGGGTGTGTGAACTTGGGCAAGTAACCCCACCTCCCTGGTGCTCCATCTCCTTCCTCTTCCTGGAAGGCCTTCCTATTCGTAAGGCCTTCGGAAGGGTGTTGCAGGGGTGAGGCCAGGCAAGGGAGCAAGAGACTGGCTGGGGGACCTGCTGGAGTGCCCACCATGTAGATGACAAAGCCAATGGTCTGCAGCTGGGCTCCTTGGGGCCGCGCCCGTCGCCAGTTCTTCTGCATCAGGGCCACCAGGCAGGTGCAGACGGCTTGGTCGTCCTCTGGGTCGTCGTCGTCGTCCTCCTCGGGGAGAGAGATCCTAAACTGGGGGTTGCTCCAGAACGTGTCTGTGGAGGAAGCAGGTCAGCAGGGCCCTGCCCTTCCCCGGGGTGGACGGGCTTCCCAGCCCCGGGGCCTGCCTCCTCGACGGGGCCCGGCGGGATCTGGGGGGGCCCCAACGTCCTGCACGGTGGGCCCTGGGTCCCGTCACCCACCAAGGTGGTTCCTGCAGCCCCCCGCAGTGCTGCCACGTCGCCAGCTGCCCTCATAGAAGGTGGTGTGCCAGGAACTCTTGTGGTCCCCCGCGAGGGCATCGGGCGTCAGGTTGCAGATCTCCAGCAGCGTGAAGTTGTCCAGGAAGTCCTCGTAGGACATCCTGCGGTGCGGGGGCAGGGGCGGGGTGACGGCTGGAGCCTGCGGCATCCCCACACCCATAGCTCCCCTCCTACCCCCCCAGGAGCCTCTCCATCAAAGGCACAGGTGCGAGGGTGGCGAGGAAAGGAAGGGACGGGGCATGGGGGCAGAGGAAGCCCCCCGCCCCCCTCCCTGCCCCGAGCTGCACTGACCAGAACTCCCCGTCCTCCTTCCTGAGCAGGAGCTGCTTCTGGACGTCGGGTGCCACGTTTTCCCACTCCCTGGCGCTGGAGCAGAGACAGGCGGTGGAGGGAGAGGGGCGGGGCTCAGGAGGCATTTTGGTCCTCCCCAAGGGATTCCCCCACCCCTGCCTGTGAGGGTCCTGAGTTAGATGGAGAATCTGGTGGGTGGCACTGCCTCGCTCGTGGGCCTGCTGGGCGCTCTGCCCCTCACCGGACAGTGCTGGTCAGGGGCGCTTACTTGTCACTCCAGGCTCCGTTCCACTCGATCCGGCCCCAGGGATTCCGGACCCGAATCAGGGTCTCTGTCCTGCCTTGGTACGAGACCTGGTGGGAGGGGTGTGGCCAAAGGTCAGGGGCCTCAGGCAGGAGGGATTCCCCGGGGCTCCTTTGCTCAGGATAGCATGCGGTTGGCAGACTCACGTCCTGGAGGCCGGTCACGGAGTAAGCATGCCCCCTCACCAGCATCTTCTGGGTCAAAGTCTCCAACTCGGTATCGCTGGTGACCTACAGAACAGAGAAGGAGAGGAATTCAGGATCTGGTCAGAGGCACTGGGGCCCCCGAAGAGATGTGAGCACTCTCGGGGTTCACTTTTTTTTATTTTTATTTTTTTAAAGAGTTTATTTATTCATTTGAGACACAGAGATATATATAGAGAGAGAGCATGAGCAGTGGGAGAAGCAGAGGGAGAGGGAGAAGCAGACTCCCCGCTGAGCCAGGAGCCCGATGTGGGGCTCGATCCCAGGACTCTGGGATCATGACCTGAGCCGAAGGCAGACGCTTAACCATCTGAGCCACCCAGGCGCCCCTCGGGGTTCACTTTTTAAGATTTTATTTATTTATTTGAGAGAAAGAGAGAGAGAGAGCATGAGCAGAGGGGAGGGGCAGAGGGAGAGGGAGAAGCAGACTCCCCGCTGAGCCAGGAGCCCGATGTGGGGCTCGATCCCAGGACCCCGGGATCATGACCTGAGCCGAAGGCAGATGCTTAACCAACTGAGCCACCCAGGCGCCCTGGGGTTCACTTTTGTTTTTTGTTTTTTGTTTTTTAAATTAAACCTGGTATTTGCAAATAATTGTAGATTCCCATGCAGTTATAAGAAATAATCCAGGGAGGGGCGCCTGGCTGGCTCGGCCAGTAGAGTGGGCAACTCTTGGTCTTGGGGTCATGAGTTCAAGCCCTGCATTGGGCATGGAGCCTACGGAAAACAAGAAAAAATCCAGAAAGATCCAATGCATCCCGTATCATTTCCCCCAGTGGTAACATCTCGCAAAACTGTAGTACAATAGCAATAGCAAGACTGTCATGATGTTGATGCAATCTGTCAGGCTTCTACAAATGTCCCCACTTTTGCCAGTAGTCCTTTATGTATGTTTTGTGCAATTGTACCCCATGTGTGCTCTCTGCACCACCACCACAGAACCGTCCCCACCCAGCACGGCAGGAATCCCCCGGGCTACCCTCTGATAACCAGGCCCGCCTCCTCTTGCTGTCGTCTTCCCTGACCTCTCACAACTGCTAATCAGTTCTCCACTTTCATTTTCTTTTTATTTTATTATTTTTTAAGATTTTATTTATTCACGCCAGAGCTAGAGAACACGTGCGTAACTGGGGGTGAGGGAGGGGGCAGAGGGAGAGAGTCTTCAGGTAGACCCCCCACCCCCGCCGAGTGCAGAGCCTGAGGCAGACAGATCCCAGGATCTGAGATCTTGACCTGAGCTGAAGTTAAGAGTCAGACACTCAGCCGATGGAGTCACCCAGGCGCCCCTGTTCTCCATTTTTAAAAAAGTTTGTCATTTCGGGGCACCTGGCCGGCTCAGATGGTGGAGTGTGCCACTCTTGATCTCAGGGTTGTAAATTTGAACCCCATGTTGGGTGCAGAGATTACTTAAAAATAAAATCTTAAAAGGGGCACCTGGGTGGCTCAGCCGATTAAGCGTCTCTTGACTTCGGCTCAGGTCATGATCTCAGGGTGGTGAGATTGAGCTCCAGTCGGGCTCTGTGATGAGTGCGGAGCCCGCTTGGGATTCTCTCTCTCCCTCTCTCTCTGCCCCTCCACCCCCAGCCCCAGCCCCCACTCGCACACGCGCTCTCTCTCTCTATTTGTGTATCTCTTAAAAAAAATACAAAATAAAATAAAATCTTAAAATAATTTTATCATGTCAAGACTGTCAGGGAAATGGAACTCTTTGGTTTTTTCATTCAGCTTAATTCCCTTGGGATTCATCCAAGTAGTTGCGTGTATCAATAGTTCATTTCCTTTTATTGCTGAGTCATGTCCCACGGCATATATGCACCACAGTTTAATGAGTCACTCACTGAAGACATCTAGACTGTTCCCAGTTTTTGGCTACTATGAATAAAGCCCCTGTGAACATTTGTGTGCGGGCTTTTGTGTGGACATAAGTCTTCATTTCTCTGGGATAAAAGCCCAAGAATGCAACTGCAGGGTCATATGGTTGCGCTCTGGGTTCATTTATTTATTTGAATAAATATTTATTTGCTGGGCGTCTACTTCATGCCAAGCAGCACCCTAAGTCCTGGGATCCAGCAGTGAATGAGAGAAGTCACTGCCCTCACTGACTGAAACAGCCGGGAGAAGACAGGTTGTGAATAACAATACTGATAAGTAAGACCATGACTGAGCACCATGAATGCTGAAGGGAAAATAAAAAACAAAGAGCAAATGAGGTTAGGAGCAACTGATTTAGATTGGGAGGTAGAGAAGAGAAGCCTGAGGAAGGGGCATTTGAGCTGAGATGTGAATGAGGAGGAGCTAGTAGTCATGCAGCTCTCTGGGGAAAGAACCTTCTAGGTGAAAGCCACAGCAGGTACAAAGGCCCTGAGGCAGGACCAAGTATGGCTTACTTCGATGGAGCAGCCCATGAGGGAGGATCGCCCGACGGCCTTCCTAAGCATCCTCAGCAGGTTCCGAGGGGGCTTCTGGAGTTGGAGGCTATAGGTCACGCCCCCCGTGAAGTCCTCAAAGCCCTCCACGGTGTTGCCCCCCGACAGTGCTTCATAGGACCCATTCAGCCTGTGGGCACAGAGAGGGCACTTTTGCGCCCTGGGATAGACAGTTCAGCTTGGACATGGGAGGGCGTGGGGAGGGAAGGAAGGGATGCCCTGACCTCCCTCTGCCTTTTCCCCTGATTCCAGCTGCCCCCCTAGCTGTCAGGGCAGGCTTGGAGGCAAGCCCAGCTTGGGGCACTCACTTGGCATATGCCTTCTCCAGCAGGGCACTCCAGAACTCAGTGCGCTCAGCGGAATGCACGAACACCAGCTTGCCGTTCTTGGTGGGCAGCCGGTCGTCCACCACCACGTCCACCCACTGCCCAAACTGCCAAATCTGTGGGCGGCAAGGTGGACCTCAGTGGGGCTTAGGGCATCTGTGTGGCGCAGGCCTTCCTCCAAGCACATGCGTGCACACATGCGCCACACCCCCTCCCACGAGCACACCTACCCACCCCTGCATGCGCACACACACTCCTTGTGTAAGAGCTGTGTTATGCGAGCACCTCCTGGTGGCCAGGATCAGCCACACGCCCGCGGCAGAGCGCCCACTCCCCAGAACGGCCAAGGCGTGGGTGAGAGGCAATGAAAAGCCTGAACCTTGCCCCCAGCCTCAACTCCAGTTTCTGCGAGGGCCTCCGGAGGGACACCACCCACTTTTGACCTTGGCTGGGCTTTAGGATTTCTGAGGTTTTATTATTTTTTTTTAATTTTATTTATTTATTTGAGACAGAGAGAATGAGAGACAGAGAGCATGAGAGGGAGGAGGGTCAGAGGGAGAAGCAGACTCCCTGCCGAGCAGGGAGCCCCATGCGGGACTCGATCCCGGGACTCCAGGATCATGACCTGAGCCGAAGGCAGTCGCTTAACCAACTGAACCACCCAGGCGCCCGGATTTCTGAGGTTTTAAAAAACTCTTGTGATTCTAAGAAATAGTTTTGTGATGTGGGGAATTTGTCCATGGCACTAAACTTAAAGAGCAGATTACAAAAATTATGTGACCCTGACTGACTTTTGACTCCTAATGTCATATACACACATAAACACACACACACACACACACATGCACACATTTCTACCAAGAGAAAGAGACAGAGAGACAGAGAGGGAGAGAGAGAGAGACAGAAGCAGGAGGAGAGCCGCGAACTGATAACGATTATTTTCTTTTGGGGCTTTAAAAAATTAGCTTACATGATTTCTTTAGTGAGCAGATATTTCTCTGATAATTAGACAAAAGCCCACCCTAATAAAAGTCATTTTTCAAAAAGAAAAGAAAAAAGGTAACTTCAAAGCACATATAATTCTTCTTCTTTCTCCCTCCCCTCTTTCCCTCTGTCTCTGTCTCTGTCTCTCTCACACACACACACACACACACACACACACACCACAAAACAACTCCGGCTTCCAAATCAGCCTTCACCTGAAAATGGAAAATGCCAGCGTAGTTCTTCCTGAAGCTCTGCCCCCTGGGTACCACACGGTACAGCAGTTTGGGGCACGTGGTAAGGGAGCCGATGGCAGCCAGCAGCCAGCAGTCCCCTGGAAAGACAGGAAGGGGGTTGCCTCTCCCTCCCATTTTGTGAGCCTGGGTCCCAGAATCCAAGCCCTAAAGGAGCAGGAACGGGCTCTGTGGCCCCTCCCCCACAGAGCTGCGCCTCCTCTGGCCGTCCCACTAAGGATTGTTCAGGAAGGAGTCTAGTAGGGAGAAACAGGGCTGAAGGAGCAGGCTCTGGGAGTGAGCCTCTTTACCTTTTCTATTAGGTAAGAGATTCACAAATTTGAGCCAGATGCTTCGGTTTTTGGATTTGGGGAGGAAGTATTTGGCCTTCGTCTTGCTCCTTACCCTGAGATCTGCTTTGTGGAGAGAGCCGGTTTTCTCCCATCCCTTGAACAAATCCAGTCACCTCTCCCCATGCCCCCTGCCTTCTACTTCTACTCTATGATTACATCGGTGTAGCAATCAAGACATCTCTCCCTGATGCCACCCACATCATACTGGAGACCCAAAGGGTTTAGTCCGTACCCCGGCTGGGTCCCTGGGGCTAGGCATTGATGGGGCCTAGGGGCAGTATCCCTAGGCCAAGGTCATCCATCGAAATCGCTCTCCTGGGTACCTCGGACCTTGCTGGGTGGGGCCGAGCGCAGGGTGGTACCCTGAGCGTGTTCCAGGCCAGGCTCAGGCTGAGGGCACCGGGAAAGCGTCTGTGATTACCAGTGGCCTCGTGGCTACCTGGGGTACCGTTGGGGGGGAGGCAGAGGGTGGGGGGGTGGTTAAGGACACTCCAATCCTCCATTGCCAAAAGGACACCTAACCAGGAGGAAGCCAGCTCTCCTCCTGCAGCGGCAGACGTGAGGCCTGAGGTGTCCTTGGCTTCCGCCCTGCCCACAACCTGCGCTTTTCTCTGCCACAGATACGACAGAACTCAGCCCCAGAGGAAGGCCGCCCTGGTCTTACCCCTGAAGATGCAATGAAGGGTTTGGAGGAGCCCTTCCTCGGGGGCTGAGTTGGGGCTGTCACAGGAGCCCGTGGGAGAGTGGGCCGAGGGACTTAGTGCTCCTTTATTTGATACGTGAGACGGAGCAAGTTTTGGCACCTGCAGGCGCTTTTTTTTTTTTTCCCTGTTTTGTTTTTGTTTTTTTTTTCCTGCAGGTGCTTAAAAAATAGGTCCTCAAGCTCTTTGACTCTCCCCCGCTCGGGAGGCAGAGCCTAACTCCTTCCCCTTGAACGTGGGCCAGATTCCAGGCTTGCTTCAACCAAATGGAATGTGGTGGAGGGGACCGTGTGTGTGTTCTCCTGAGGCGGTAAAAGGCATGACAGTTTCCTCTTTGTTCTCTCTCTTGGGTCACCCTGTCTGGGGGACCAGCTAGCAGGTTGTGTGGACACTCAGGCGGTCCTACGGGGAAGCCTACGAAGCAGGGAATGGAGGTCTCCCGGCCCGAGAGCGTGCCATCTTGGGAGTGGATCCTGCAGCTCCTGTGAAACCCTCAGATGAACAGGGCTCCCCCTGATATCTTGATGGCAGCCTCATGAGAGACTGAGTCAGACCCCACCTGCTCTGTTCCTTACGGATTATTGACCCACAGAAACTGAGATGATAGATGTTTGTCATTGCTTTAAATCACTAAGTCTTGGGGACAATTGATTATGTGGCGATGGGTAACTGATAGACCACCCAGCTTACTTCCAGACCCAGAGCGGCCGGCGGGGCTGGAATCACACTGGTGGGGGTGGAGCAGGGAGAATATACCTGGCAGCCTCACTACCCTCTCCTCAGAAGGGGAGGGGCAGGGAAAGAGGAGAGATTGTCTGAACCTAGGGGGCCCCAGCTCCCCAGCCTCAAAAGACACCCTGGCACTCCCCCTACCTCAGCCTTCTTCCGCGATTCACGCCCTCCTTCCACACCAGCTTTCTTGCTCCCCACTCACCAAGTACGCCTTGGCAGATGTCTGTTGGACTGATCCCGTTCACAATGAAGTGAGGATTGCTTGTGATTTGCTGCAGAGAAGGAATAAGGATTTTAGGGCGCCCGGACATCCCCCTCCTAACCTCCCTCTCACCATTTCTGGGGAATGACGTCCACCTCCAAGTTCTAGGGGAAAACATGGCACCGGAAGGGGAAGGTCACTGGACCGGCTCGGCAGAGTTGTACGATGGGACAGCCAAGGTCAGTGAGGGACTTTCCCAGGGGTTCTCTGAGAGGTTTGGCGTAAGCAGGGCCAGAACTGTCCCCAGGCCTGATCCAGGGTCAGGATAGAGGGTCGGGGGATGGGAGATTTCAAAGTGACAGGGGCCTCATGACGGACAGTCCTCCCACTCCGACAAGGCATCCACGCCTCCCCTCCCAATACCCACACCAGGCCGCTGCCAGGAGATGTTCTGCACGTTTTTGGAGCTGGGGCCCAGATCCTTGAAGCCCAGGGAACTGGGTTCGGCGGGGAAAAAGGAGTCCTCGAACAGTTCTCCCCTCCTCAGACAGGCTGCTTGCAGGTCCTCATAGTTCTGGTTATTGTAGTTCTGGGCATTGTGGTGTTGGCCCACGCCCTTGGCTCTGAGGCGGTTCTGGCTTACGTGAGCCGCCATTCCTCGATCCATGAAAATGGACTCTGCTTCACAATGAAAAGACAGATAACCCAGTTAAAAAAAGTGGACACGGGATCTGGATAGATAGTTTTTCGGAAGAAGATACACAAAGACGCTCAACACCATCAGTCACCAGGCAAATGCAAACCCACCACAATGATCCACCACTAGGATGGCTATAATAAAAAAGACTGTTAATAACAAGGGTCAGAGAGGATGTGGAGAAATTGGAACCTTCATCCACTGCTGGTGGGAATATAAAAGGGTGCAGCCACTTTGAAAAATAGCCTGGCCATCCCTCAAACAGTTAAACATAGAATCATTACCATTTGATCCAGCAATTCCACCTCTAGGTATATACCCAAGAGAAAGGAGAACGTATGTCCCTATAAAAAACTTGTACACAGGGCGCCTGGGTGGCTCAGTTGTTTAAGCGACTGCCTTCAGCTCAGGTCATGATCCTGGAGTCCCTGGATCGAGTCCCGCATCGGGCTCCCTGCCAAGCAGGGAGTCTGCTTCTCCCTCTGACCTTCCTCCTTCTCATTCTCTCTCTCTCAAATAAATAAATAAAATCTTAAAAAAAAAAAAAAAACTTGTACACAAATGTTCGTGGCATTAGTCACAATAGCCAAAAAGTGGGAAGAAACGCCAAGTTCCATCAGCTGATAAAAGAACCAGTAAGACGAGAAACATACATACAATGGAATATCATTCATACTGGAATATCATTCATACAAGAATATCATTCAAAAAGAAATGAAGTGTTGGGGGTACCTGGGTGGCTCAGTCCGTTAAGCATCTGACTCTTGATTTTGGCTCGGGTCATGGTCTCGGGTTGTGAGGGCTCTGCACTGAGCGTGGAGCCTGCTTGAGATTCTCTCTCTCCCTCTCCCTCTGTCCCTCCCCAACTTGTGCATGCTCGTGAACGTCTATGTGTGTGCACGCGCGCGTGTTCGCTCTCTCTCAAAAAAAAAAAAAAAGAAATGAAGTACTGACCCATGCTACAACATGGATGAGCCTCAGAAACATGATGCTAAGTGAAAGAAGGCAGTCACAAAGAACCACAGACTGCATGATTCTATTTATATAAAATGCCCCAAATAGGCCAATCTACATAGAGACAGAGAGTAGTAGAAGGGTGTGGTCTGAGTTAAACAGAGCCCAGTTGGTGCCGCGGTGTGGGAGGAATCAGAGTGGGGAAAAGAAGGGGCAGCTACAGGGAGGGGCAGGAGGGGTCTAGGCTGTCTAGAGGTTGAGACCCAGGCTGAGCCCACAGAGGGCTGAGTTCCACCGAGGCGAGAGCAGGGGGTCTCAGTGATTCGTCCTCCCTCGAGTTGGCAGACAAGAAGGGTTACAGTAGCAAAGCTAACAGCACTGAGTACCTGCTCTGCGCCAGGCACACCAGCCTCCAGAAAGATCCATGCAATATTCTCAATTACCCGAAGAGGAAGCAGAGGTCCTGAGGTCAAGGAGCATGCCCAAGGTCACAGGTGAGGGGTGGGCATGGGACGGAGTCTGACTGCAGACCCCAGACAAGGCCCGTGACCTTACCCTGACAGTCCCCATGGAGGGAGGTGCCTCTCCGCAGCGGGAAGTCCTGTGGAATAGCACCATCTCCCCATCTTCATCAACTAAGGGGATTATGGGCCATTTGTGGCGAAACGTCTCTGATGCCCCTTGACTCTTCCCACTACCCCAACCAAGCACACCCATTCTCCTGTCCCACAGCGGTGTCTCCTTGGGACTTCCCTAGGCCCAGGAATGCCCCTATGGTCTCCCCTTGTCAGCCTGACAAACCCAAACCAGGCTGCCACCGAGAGGCCCAGCACCTTCCAGCACAGGGAGCCTTTTCTCAGCCGCACTGGACCGCTCCTGCCTCGGTGCCTCCAACTGGAATCATTCCTGCACCCACACACACACCTTGTCCGCTGGGGAAAGTCCTGCTCAGACTTCTAGGCCCTGCTCAATGCCACCTCCTTGGGGAAACCCTCCCCTAATGTCCCAGGCAGGGTTTGGGGCAGCCCCCACCCCCAGCACTTTCCTTTGTTGGGACACCCATCGCTGCCTGCCGGTTCTGAGTTGGCTTGTCTGTGAGCTCTCAAGGGTGGAGGTGGGGGCTTCTCTGACCACCACTGGGTTCCCTCTGTCTCACATAGCACCTGGCCCCAGCAGGGGCTCAGAAATGCTTTCAGGGGATGAATGAATGAATGAATGAATGAATGAATGCCTTGCATTGCACTGTAGGGATTTTTCATCTACGTTTGCAAATCTATGTTTTCTGTCTCCTGCCCTGCCCCCCAGCTCCCTGTCCCACTCTCGTCCCTGACAGACTATCCGTCAGGGGCCAGATGTATATTTATTATTATTTTTTTATTTGTCTCCCTCACTAGAATGAAAGCCTATGAGGGCAGGAATTTTTGTCTGTTTTGTTTGTTGCTGCATTGAGCACATAGTAGGTGCTTAATAGATGCTTTGAATGATGTGCCCCAGTGCTCCTAGAAGGGTGGAGGGTCATGCATGTTAGTTTCTCCCTGTGAAGGGATAGATGGGCATGTGGCTCATCCCTGGGACCCTCCATTCCATTAGGGAGAGTTCTCCCCAGATGCCTGGTAAATGGTGCACCCTACAGACTCCAATCCAGCACTGCCCATCGGCCATGCCTGGGCTGGGGACCAAAAAGAGCTCACCTCAGCCCAGGGAAGCCAGAGCATTGGTGCAGGCCATGAGCAAAGGCCCTGGCCACCGCATAAAGGCTTCTCTGGAGTAACCTTGGGGTCCCTGGGGCCTGGAGTCTGCTGGCCCCCACTGAGAAAAGTTCACTGGCCGTAAGGATTAGGGTGAGTTTGCTGGACAGACTCGGGAGATCCTGTCCTTGGCTTCTTCCTCGGAGCCTACGGTTTGTGATGAGAAGATATCAGGAATCTCCCCCAGTTGTAAAAGGGACTAGCACTTACAAAGCAGTTATAAAAATACTAGTTAACGGTGTTTGAGGACCCGGCGCAAAGCTTGGCGTGGTTCTAAATGCTTTCCATGCATTAGCTCCGGGGAGCCTCACACCAACAACCCTGATGGCTAGCTTTATTATTGTTCTGTCTCCCTGCTACAGATGGAAGAACCAAGGCCCAGAGAGGTTGAGCTTCTTCAAGGCTGCACACCTGGTGGGGAGCAGTCAGGCAGGGGCGGGCTGGTCCGAACTCCTACCCATCACTCGTGGCCTCACGAGGAGGGAGCCGCGGTGCAGGGGCAGAGTCTGGACAAGGTGTTGGAAGAGGGGTCAAGAAGGCAGCTGATTTCTCTTTAGCAGAGGGGCTGGGCTGCTCTGAACCAGAGTGGGTAGCTGTGTGACCACGGGCAAGTTGCTTTATGTCTCTGAGCCTTGATTTCCTATTCTGCATAAAGAGGCTGCTATATCCTACCTTGAAGGGTGTTTCCGGATGAAATGATGCAATGTACATGAATTGGCATTCAGTAGGTGCTCAGAAGATGATGGTGGCCTTTCCCCTACTGACCTGGCTGAGTGGTATTTCTTGAGTTCCTACTGGGATCATAGAGCAGCCCTCCTCCCTCCTAGGACTCAATGATCCTAAGGATGCAGGAGCATGTTGGGATCTCGGTGTGTCTGTCTGTCTCGGTGTGAGCTCCTTAGAGCAAACCGTAACTCATCTCAGCCACCTTCATGGAACATTCAGTCTGTGCTGGGCATCGAGGAGTCAGAAGTGAGCACTCGCCTGCAGGGAGCTCTGAGAGGACCCTCTCAAACTATCCCTCTTCAGCTTCACGGGCCATAGAGGCAGGGAGGAGGGGCCGGGGAGAGAGGCTACCCAGATCAGGTGGGATAATTGGGAGGTTCTTGCGGGGGGGGGGGGGGGGAGTGACGGAGTGACTGCCTCCTTCTTCCTGAGGGGTCCCTGAGGGTGGGTGCACCAGAACTTCCTGGTTCTGGAAGGATCAGGGTTGGGGGCAGGGAAGAGGGTGTGTGCAGTGGGAATCTGGGCATTCTTCCCCCTTCCTCTCCCTTGGCCCCCACCCTCTCTCTTCCCACCCAGGCCCTCTGGCTTTCTCTTAGAAATAGTAGAGGAACTCCTTTTCACTCCCTCAGGCCAGGGGAAAATGAATAAAGGGGCGTGTTGTGGCAGCAGGCGAGTAAGTGGCTTATTTCTTTGCTCAAAGAGCAAGGGAAAGACTTGGAGGGAGGCCTGTGGGGGACGAACCTTGGAACCCCCTTCAGGTGAAGAGGGTCCAGAGAGGCAGGCTGCAGAACATCCCGAGGAGGGATGAGAATCAGAACTGGTCTTGTTTCATCACCTGGTCCTCACCCCTGGTCCTGGGCACCAGCAGGGCAGGGATGACTGTCCCACGTGACCTACGCCTATCCCAGGGCCCACCCGGAGGCATTAGGGCTAGAGGTCTTCCACGTGGGAGATCCCCCCTCCAGGGGACATTCGGCAAGGTCGGCAAGGTCTAGAGATCTCTTTGGTTGGCATAACTGGGGAGCAGGGGGTGCTCCTGGTATCCGGTGGGTAGAGGCTGGAGAGGCCACTAAACATCCTACAGTGCTCAGGACAGCCCCATGACAAAGAGTTATCCAGTCCCAAATGTCAAGTGTCCGGGTTGAGAGACCTGGGTTAAGTGAGGGGCCCAAGGGCACCCACGCAGTGAGGCGAACCACTCTGCCCTTCCACCACGGGGTCGCCTTCAGAGGCCTCTGACTTGGCTGCCTCCGGGAGTGACTGTGCCGGTCTGTCCTCGGGGTCTGGGAGGACCAGAGGAGGGGCTGGGGTCCAGGAAAACTGGAGAACCTCAGAGGGCAGACCAAGGCTGGGAAGTTAAATCTCAGCTTCCTCATCCCTCTGGAGTGCTGGGTCTGAGCGCATTACTCAGTTGGCTGGCCGGGACATGCACGCGCACACACACACACACACACACACACACACGCTCCACCACAGTCATCACCAAAAATGTCTCCAGAGAGGGTGACAGATCCGGGTCCTGTCAGGTGGGCTAGGGGCGTGGGCAAGCTGAGACAGACAGACAAGGCTGGCTGTGGGAAGGACAGACAGGTGGCCACGAGTGGCTAGGAAGCTCTCTGTCCC